GTGAGGTGCTCTTCGGGCTGCAGAAGGAACCAGGAGGCCAACCTGAGGCTGGGGCAGTTCTGGGTGAGAAGGCCTGGTGGCTCTTGGTACAGTGGGACGCTGGGATGGAAGATTGGAGGTTGGTTTGTAGATTCAGGGCACATTTTGGAACTAGAATGGACAGAACTTACTGAAGGAATGAAAGTGATAAGTGAGAAACTAGAGAGTCAATAGTGACCCTTAGATTTTGGGTCTAATTGCCATTTCCTGACACGGGTGTCTAGAAGGGGGAACAGGTTCAGCTCAGGGATATCGGGAAATGGAGGTTACTTTGTGTTAGTTTTTTTTTTAAATACTGGGGATTGAACCCAGGGGTGCTCAACTACTGAGCCATATCCCCAACCCTTTTTTTTAATTTATATATTTTATTTAGAGACAGGGTCTCACTGAGTTGCTTAGGGCCTCACTAAGTTGCTGAGGCTGGCTTTGAACTCGTGATCCTCCTGCCTCAACCTCCCAAGCTGCTGGATGGGATTACAGGCAGGCTCCACTGTGCCCAGATTTACATTAGGCTTTTTAAAATATATTTCATTTTGAAATTCCAGACTGATTGCAAAAATAGCACACAAAACTCCCATTTACACTTCAGCCAGCTTCCCTAAACTTTAACATTTTCAATAACCACAGGATAATGATCAAACCCAGGAATTAACATGGACCCAACACTACTAATTCACCTATGGATCTTACTGAAATTTTGTCAGTTGACTTACCAAAGTCCTTTTCCTGGACCAACCATTCAGAGATCACATTGATGTGTGACCCAGCCATTCTATCTCTTTACTCTCCACCAACCTGCAGCCTTTTCTGCCTCCTCACCCTTAAGACCTTGACACTTTTGAAAGATCCAGGCCAGTTATTTTGTGGAATGTTACTCATTTTGAGTTTATCTGCTGTTTCCTCAGGGTTAGGTTCAGGTGAGGTATTTCTAGTGGGTTCGACACAGGAAAGGTAGAGAGTTTGTTCAGTCAGAGTTGAGATGCCTCGAAAACAAATTGATGGGAAGGCCAGTGCCAGGTGGGAGTTGAGGGGGGGGGAGAGTAGAGCAAGAGCTGTGATTACAGGTGACATCCAAGTAGCAAGCCCTTTCCTAGAGTTGGTCATGAATGAGGACCCCAGGGAGAGTTCATAGAAAGAGGTGGTAGAGGATTGGGTGCCTGGCACCCCAGAGTCAAATGGGGAGGACACATTGCCAGTGGAGTGAGAGAGACCCTTAGTGAATGAGAGGCTCAAGAACCAGGAGGGATGGAAGAAGGCACGGGCTTCAGCTGATGACCCTGGCGGGGGTGGGAAGTTGGAGGCTCCAGACTTTGGCCACATGCAGTAGGCCGAAAGCCCAGCTGGAGAAGACAAAGGGGAGTGAGCCAGGACTAGGAAAGATGGCAGTGTGGACAACTCCCAGGAAACAGGAATGGGCTGGGCTGAGGGTAAGTGTCGGGTCCAGGGAAGCATGTTTAAGGAAGGGGTGGGCTGGGGAATGGCTACTATGCTGATAGGAACAACCCAGCAAAGTCAGGAAAGGGGTGGTGCAGATACAGAACAAAGCTGCCACAAGCCAGCAGTGCGGGGACTCTGGGTGCTGTTTGTCAGAGTCAGTTCAGTGCTGGGCAAGGAGATGGGGGTGCTTGAGGCAATGAGGGCAACCAGTCTCCTTTAGTGAAGGACCATAGCAATGGGTATACTAAGGTATAGACCATGGTGTCCAGAGGAAGAGATGGACCAAGGGACATGTGGAAGGCTATGTCTCTCTCTCTCTTTTTTTTTTTGGTATTGGAGATTGAACCCAGGGGCACTTAACCACTAAGCCACATCTTCAACAATTTTAATATTTTATTTAGAGACAGGGTCTTGCTACGTTGCTTAGGGCCTTGCTAAATTGCTGAGGCTGGCTTTGAACTTGCAATTCTCCTGCGTCAGCTTCCCAAGCTGCTGAGATTACAGGCATGCTCCACCATGCCTGGATGGCTGTGTCCTTCTTGGTGGCCACTTGAAGGGTGAATGACTGAGGTAATTGGCTGTGAGTAGAACAAGGACTCAAGAGGCTGGGGTGGCCAGGGGGTATGGGATGCTGATGGGATTGGGGAGGGGAAGAGTCAAGCCCCCTGTGGTGGAAAGAAGAGGATGGGTAGGCCAACTGCAGAACTGTCAGGAAGGGCCAGGAGCAGGAAGGAGGGTCCCTCATCATTTATTGCCTCTCTCTTCATCAGCTGTCACAGAGGGAGACAGGTGCTGGGAGAGGGAAGGAGATGACATTCCCAAGTTCCAAAGGACACTGGGAGATTGGGGAGGGGGCTGGAGTTGTATGGAAGGCCAAATGGGGGACTCACCCATTGGGAGGGAGGGTACCCCATGGAGGTTGTCTTAATCTCTTTTTTCCACCAATGAGGGAAGGGTCTGGCAGCATCCATTCCTTCCAGTCAGGCCCACCAGAAATTCTACCAGGGAGTGGCTGGGCTGCAACCCTTCACCACCTGCTGCATAAATGTGCACATCATACATATGTGGCCAAGAGCTCCTGAGCTCCCACCAGCTCATGGTACACTGCCTCCTATAAACATCATCTGGTTTTTATCTATCTATCTATTTATTTATTTATTTTTGCTGGGTTTAGTCCTGTCCACTTCTGAGCCAAGGATAGTGCTTCTTCCATAAAGCCTCCCTTGATTTCTCACATCAGAAGCAATTACTGGAGCATCTCCCACTGCCCCTGCCTCTTTGTACTGTGCTTACATGGTTACTGCCTGCCTCCCCAAGAAGCTATGTTTTACTGGTGGTGAGGCCCTGCTGCCCAGCACAATCTGCTTGGCAGAATCAACAAGCTGCTTTTGGGCCTCGAGCAGTTTCCCGTTTTCCCACTAGATGGCAAACAATGCATGTGTTTGGGCCCACTGGTATGAGACTTTGGAGCTGTTGGGGGTCTGTTTCCTACCTGCAGGCAGCAAGCAGGGGACTTTTAGAGGAGATTATTAACCCCTTTCTAGTTAGGGAAACTGAGGTCCATAGCGAGAGAGGAACTGAGCAAGGCCTCACAAGTCAACAGAGTTTGGTCTTTAAGCCCCTGCCATGTGTTCTTACTGCATGGAGTGGGTTGTCCCCTGTACCCTGCCCCAGTAGACACAGGCTTCCCTGCAGCCCCAGCTGGGGGCCTGGCTGAGCAGAGACCCCCAGGGTGGGCTGGCAGACTGAGGAGTGATTGGGCTTCCAGCTGGCGGCCACGTGCTGGCTGGAGGGCTGTCCGGATGGTTCCCCAGCTAGATGTTGGCCCCCAGCCTGGGATATATGCCAAAATGTCTCCACAGGGAAATAGAGGCAGAGGGCTTTTCACAGAAGTTCCAGGATCTAATCACCACCACAGCAGCCCTTGCACAAGAAATGCTCATGGATTTATGTAGCCCTGTTTCATCCAAGGTGGCTGGGCCCCAGCTCTGGGAGGAAAAGGCAGACCCAGAGAGTGAGTGCTTTGGTTAAGGTTCCCCAGCAAAGCCAGAGAAGGAGTGGGCTGAGTCCAGTCACTGGTCTCTCTGAGCAGCCTCTGGCCCATTTCCAAATAAGATCCCCCATCCTGGGAGGAGGCACATATATGTTGGGGGAAAATGGGACAGGAAGACAGGGTTGAAGACTCCTGGGTCCTTATCATGTGGACCTGAGGACCAACCTATTTCCTTCCCAGGGATGTGGTGGGAAGAAAGATGGGGGTCGCAGTATCCCTAGTAACTCCAGAAGCAAGAGTGTCCCAGGAAGGAGCAGGGATTTCTCAGCCTGCGGTGTGGCCTGGGTCAGGTCCTTCCCTCTTCTGAGTATACATCTCCCCTATACCCACCACCAGGTTTTCTGACCACCACCTGAGGGCTCAGGTCAGCCCATTGGGAGGCCCAACCCGCAGGAATTTCTAGAATCCTCTAACTATGACTCAAGATGAAATCTTAGTGCTCAGGGTCTAGGATTCTGGGGCCTAGAGATCTGGAGTGGGGTTGAGGTGGCAGCTGAGGGGGCCAGGGACAGGAGTTTCTCTGAAACAGGGGACATGGGGAAGTTCCCTCACTTGCCTCAGATTCAGCCTGTTGGTCTTATCTACCCTTGGCCCTCTTCCATGGCCCCCCTTCATCAGAGTGAAGGGTAGAGCAAGTGAACTCTGGCAGGATCATATTATGTGGGGCCTATGGGGATCTGGGACGAACCACTGCTGATTCGTTGGGCTCTGGGCCCTGGGTCTCTAAAGGACTGGAGGCCAGAGGGAAGTAGGGCAATGGAGGTTCTCCCTGGCTCCTACCTCAAAGCAAGCCCAATGAGTTGAGATGGGGCCTGGTGGATATGGGGAGGAGGTATGGGGCCTGGAGGCCAAATAGGGACAGGCCTAGATAGGAGATCCTGAGCATTCTTCTCTTGCCAGTCCTAGATCAGTGAAGTGTGGCCAGACCTCAACTGCCTGTCCAGGACATGGAGCCCCTTGGACCGGAAATGACCCCACCCCAGGCAACTTGGGCCCTGCCAGGGGAAATGGGTACCTAGCCAAGGCTTCAGGGGTTGGGCCATTATAACACTTGGGACCTGGGACTAGGGCCAGCTTGTGGGAGTCTCTGCTATGGCACTGGGGAGGCAGGGAACAAAGCAAAGCCCAGCTAGACCCCCACCCAGCCCCTCAACCTCTGTCTCTCATCCCTGACCTCTTCCAGGATATCTCCCTCCTTGTCACTTTGCTGGAGCCTGGGGACCTGATTTTGTGAACGTCTATCTCTCTGTACAAACTATCTATACCTTAGCTGGGAAAGAGTGTTCCCGGCATGGAACTGGTCAATCTGACATAAAGGCATGGAGCAGGCCAGCTGAGGTGGAGGAAGAAGCTGCAGGTGGATGGCCAGGCTCCGCCTCCTCCCCTTCTGCCTTGCCCCTCTTCCCGCCCATGACTGGGTGGAGCTGCTGCCTTATAAGTGGCTGGTCTGGTGGCAACAGAGCAAACTACAGCCAGCAGCAGCGGGACCGGAGGGCGGCTCCCGTTTCCCCGTTTCCCCAGCATGGCCCCCTTGGCGTGGGCTATCTGCTGCTTCCTGGGGGGCCTCCTGATCAGTGGGGGCAGCCCCAGTGTGCCCCGCCTGCGACTCTCCTACCGAGGTACTGGCTAGTGCTCCCCTGTTCCTGTGCATGTCTGCGGGTGCTCCCTGCTCCAGGATACCTCTCCCTCCACCAGCTAGGGGGTGGGGGGATGGAGGGGATGGAGCCCCAGGCCCTCCACAACCTTTGGGAAAGGCTTCCTGGGGATGACCCAGGGCAGAGGAGGGAGACATGTCCTGAGGTCCATGACCAGAGAGGAGGTGGGAGAAAGACGCATGGGCATAACCTTGGAGGTGAGGGCTGCTGAGAAGGGAAACAGATGTATGGAGACCCTGACACTCCTCAACAGGGATACTGGCAGGTGGGGAAGCGGAGAGAGGGACTGGGCAGGGGAGAGGGGACACAGGGCAGGTCTGGAGGGTCTGAGCAGACAGTAGGGGAGTGGGCAGCATCCTGTCCCTTTGGTCCTCAAGCCACAGGAGGGGAAGAACTTCCCCCACCTCTTTTCTTTTGTTTGTTTGTTTTTGTACCAGGGATTGAAGGGGGCGGGGGGGGGGGGGCACTTAACCACTGAGCCACATGACAGCCCTTTTTTTTTGTTTGTTTTGTTTTTTATCTAGTTACAGGGTCTTGCTGAGTTGCTTAGCGCCTCATTAAGTTGCTGAGGCTGGCTTTGAACTTGTGAGCCTCCTGCCTCAGTCTCCCCAAGCCACTGGGGATTACAGGCTTCCCTGGCCTCTAGCAGCCCATTTCACAAGTTGGCTTCATCATCACCCCTCCATCCAGGAGCCCAGAGGACATTTCAGCCTCCCCTCTGCCATCCTGGGGTGCATTCTTCTATCCCAGCCTAGCTGGCACAGCCTCCTCTGATGACCTGTGGGGGAAACGTCACCAAGATCCAGGATCATGGCAGATTCTTCTTGGGAAAAAGGGGGATGATCACCTTCCACTGGGAATCCCAGTCAGAGTCGGGGAGACACAGGCCTGCTGTGGAGACTGAGGGGGAGACATTGTTTGTCGTGGAGAGTCTGAGGGTGGAAATGATCCTGTTCTAGAGGCTGTAGTTTTGAGAGATCAGGCTACCAGAAAAAGCCCCAACAGGGAGAGTTCCCCAAGGTACTCTCAGCTGAGGAGGGCTTTGTGAAGGAGCCTGTTGAGTTTGGGGATGGATGGAGGCAGGGCTGAGGAAGCTCCTATAGGAAAAACCTGCGTGTTCCGGGCCTTCCCCAGGGTGGCCCATGTCCCCTTCTTACCCCATCCTTCTGCTAGTCCCTTGACAGCCCATCACCTCCAGACCCCAGGGATCTGTACCAGGATTCTAAATTCCTAGGACCACTGTCTCCAGATGCCCCCACTCCATCTCTAGAGCCTGGATGGGCAGAGTCTACAGGGGAGAAAATTCTCTTTGGTCACATCCCTGATCTGGCGGCTGGAACTCCACCTGGCCGTGCCTGGCCTGGCCTGCACCTAGGCCCTTGCCAGGTGTTCCCTCTGTCTGTCCACCTCTCCAACAGCCAGCCTCGCTCACTGCTCACACTCACCCGCCCTTCCTGCAAGCTCTTCTTGCACTTTGCCCAGATTGCTGCTTTAATTTCTGCCAGTGAGGCCATCTTCCCTGGGGACTGGGCAGGGTGCACATGTTATAGAGGGAAGGCGTCAGCCGAAAGATCAAGGGACTATAAAGCTGGGCTGGGCTGGATGGGGGCTCAGAGCCTCCTGTCCCACTTGCCCCCAGGAGCCACGTCCCCAAAACCTTCCAGCAGCCCTGTGGATGGGAGCATATTCCAGATATGAGTGCTTTTGTGGCTGAATGCACAGCTGGACCCTCCATCTCCATTCCTTGACTGGAACAGTAGGCTGAGAAGCAGGTCCTGACTCCCCTCCCTCTGTTCCCTCCTAGACCTCCTGTCTGCCAACCGCTCTGCCATCTTTCTGGGCCCCCGAGGCTCTCTGGACCTCCAGTCCATGTACCTGGATGAGTACCGGGACCGCCTCTTTCTGGGGGGACGTGATGCCCTTTACTCTCTGCGCCTAGACCAGGCATGGCCAGATCCTCGGGAGGTGAGATGGACTAATGTGGGCGTTGGGGGAAGCTGGGCATCTGCAGGTAGAAGGTCAGATGGGGGAACTGAAGCTGTGAAGTTAGGGGAGTACCTGAGGTCACCAGGCTATGTTTCAGGTCCTGTGGCCGCCCCAGCCAGGCCAGAGGGAGGAATGTGTTCGAAAGGGAAGAGATCCTCTGGTGAGTGCTATTGGAAGGGATTGTTCCCTAACCCCGTTGGTCCCAGACCCTGACCCCCAGGATAACCTGCAGTCATACTGGGTGCCTCTACTTGGGAAGGGGGTGGTTTTAGGAGCAGATCCTGAGGGCTTTGCGAGGTTTGTGAAGAATGTTACCCCTCCCCATTTCCCTTAGAGCTGCTCAGCCCAGCAGGGCTGAGCCACAGGGCCCAAACAGAGGGTGACCCTTTTGCCTCACCCTTTCTTCTCCCTGCTAGATGGAGTGTGCCAACTTTGTGCGGGTGCTGCAGCCCCACAACCGGACCCACCTGTTGGCATGTGGCACCGGGGCCTTCCAGCCCACTTGTGCCCTCATCACAGTTGGGCATCGTGGGGAGGTGAGTCTGTGTCGGGCCCCATGAGAGACTGGAAAGTGGTGACATTTCCTTTTTGCTGCCTGAACCCTTCCCATTGAGCCTGGGTAGAGACAGAGGGGGTAGGCCCTTGAAAGGCGCCTTTGTCCTCGGGTGATGACCCCATTCAAGAGGCCCTGAATGAAGGCGCCTTCTGCCCACCCCCCACTCTTCAGCCACACGCACTCAAGGGCCATGGCCAGAGTGGGAGACCAATGCTTCTTTCCCAGATGACAACCTTCCCTCCATTTTCCCTACCCATAGCATGTGCTCCACCTGGAGCCCAGCAGTGTGGAAAGTGGACGGGGGAGATGCCCACATGAGCCCAGCCGCCCCTTTGCCAGCACCTTTGTAGGTGGGTGATCCCAGGTCAGGGTGGGGTTAGGGATGGTGGGAGCAGGAAGGGATGGGGCCTGGCTGTTGGGCTTGGCCTTTCACCCCTAATTCTGTTCCCACCCCCTCTCCAGGTGGGGAGCTGTACACAGGCCTCACTGCTGACTTCCTGGGACGCGAGGCCATGATCTTCCGAAGTGGGGGTCCCCGGCCAGCACTGCGTTCTGACTCTGACCAGAACCTTCTGCACGGTGAGGCCTACCGGGACCCGCTCCTGGAACAGGGAGGAGAGGAGGCTCTGGAGCTGGGAGGAGAGGCCACTGAATTCCCTGGAACTCCAGTCTCCAGTGGGGGTCCCCATGCGGCTTCTTGTCCTTTGGGTTCATTCCCCCATCCTACCCTGTGAGCCACCCCCACACACACCAGCATTACCCTGTCACCCTCTCAGAGCCCCGGTTTGTGATGGCCACACGGATCCCTGACAACTCTGACCAGGATAATGATAAGGTGTACTTCTTCTTTTCGGAGACTCTCCCTTCACCCGATGGTGGCCCAGGGCGTGTCACCGTCAGCCGTGTGGGCCGGGTCTGTGTGGTAAGAGCTGTGACGGGGTGGTGAGGTTCAAGACTCCTGCTGCACCCCCCTTCCCAGACCTGCCCCTGCCACAGATGGGGAAACTGAGGCAAGCATAAAGCTGATATCCATACCTTCTCCCAGTAGATGAGGGTAGAGCAGGAGGAGGTGGGGCCCATCCTTATGGGACACAAGATTGACTCTGGCCTCCCATCCCTCAGAATGATGCTGGTGGCCAGAGGGTGCTGGTGAACAAGTGGAGCACCTTCCTCAAAGCCAGGCTGGTCTGCTCTGTGCCCGGCCCTGGCGGTGCTGAGACCCACTTTGACCAGCTAGGTAAGGGCGTGGCCTGGCAGGCCTTTATTCTGGGAGCGGGGAGGGCTCAGAGCTGGTGAGTGAGGGCATTGGCAATGGCCATGATGCCTGTGTGCCCTTCTGTGTTCCAGAGGACGTGTTCCTGCTGTGGCCCAAGGCAGGGAAAAGCCTGGAGGTGTACGCGCTCTTCAGCACCGTCAGGTGGGCAGCCTCCCCGGACCCCATCATCCCTGGCCCCTGCCCTTCAGCCCCTCTGCTGAATCTCTGCTTTCATACCCCAGTCTTGCTATGGGTTCCTGTCTTTGTCCCTGATTCTGTGACTCTGTATTCTGTCTCCCTCTTTTTGCTTTTGCCTTAGTGTCCTTGTGTTTCAGTTTCTACTTTCAGCAAACTCTGTTGCCCTCTGTCCTTCCGTTGGAGCAAGCCTATCTTCCTACCCATGACAGCTACCTTGGCCTGACTGTCCCTGTCTCTCCTTGGCAGCGCCGTGTTCCAGGGCTTTGCCGTCTGTGTGTATCACATGGCAGATATATGGGAGGTCTTCAATGGGCCTTTTGCCCACCGTGATGGTCCTCAGCACCAATGGGGGCCCTATGGGGGAAAGGTGCCCTTCCCCCGCCCTGGTGTGGTGAGTATCTACTGGCAAAAGAGGCCTGAGCAGCTGCCAGGAGGGACTCTTCTTGGAACAGCGCTGAGGCCACGTGCATCCCATGGCAGGGCTGGGGTGGCACTCCAGAGGGCCTGGGCTGAAGGGGCAAGGTGTGGTGGGATAGGAGAACCTCTCCAACCCAAGAGCAGCCCCTAGGTGTTGGGGGAGCAGGCTGGGAAGAGAGGTGTGCATCTCAGGGTACTTCAGGGCTCCTTTTGCTGTTGCCTGCAGTGCCCCAGCAAGATGACTGCACAGCCAGGACGACCCTTTGGCAGCACCAAGGACTACCCAGATGAGGTGCTGCAGTTTGCCCGTGCCCACCCACTCATGTTCTGGCCTGTACGGCCTCGGCGTGGCCGCCCTGTCCTCATCAAGACTAATCTGGCCCAGCGGCTGAGCCAGATCGTGGTGGACCGTGTGGAGGCAGAAGATGGGACCTATGATGTCATCTTCCTAGGGACGGGTAGGAGGGCTGAATCCAGGTGGCCAGGCTGGGGAGGTGTGTGACAGCCCAGCTGCTCTTTCCTTGCCTATTGATGACTCTTCTGCTGCCCCAGACTCAGGCTCTGTGCTCAAACTCATCGTCCTCCAGACAGGAGGTTCAGAGGAGCCCGAGGAAGTGGTTCTGGAGGAGCTCCAGGTGTTTAAGGTGAGCAGAGGGCATTTCCCATCCCTGGGTCTGGGACTGGCTATAGGGAAGCCAGAGGGAGCCTGGGGGAGGAGCAGAACATACTGGCACACTGCTACAGAGGCCTGGTTGATGCTTCAGAATGACTGGGGGACCTGCCGCTGCAGTCTGTGGACTGAAAGTACCTAGGGTTCCCCAGGGAGGTTTGGCCACAGTGAGCACCCTTGATAAAGCCCTACTGGGCTCAAGTCACAGTGAGGAAGTGGCTGAGATTCCAAGTCCCCAAGGGTTCTGTTAACCCCTCTGTAGATTCAGACAGGGCACCGTCTGTGTTTGGGGAACTATTGTGCCTGCTGACATGAGATGTGTGATTTGTAACAGCTGCCTTATTGCTGGGTAACAGGGCCATGGGAGTGGACACTGGAACTCTGAGCTTTTAGCCAACCCTCCCACTTGGAGGCCAGCTGGGATAAGGGGCCTTTTTGTAACCCAATGTCTAGAAAAGACTGTCCAGCTTCAGTTGCTAAGGGGTGCACCGATTGGGCTGGCGTTGGAGACTAAAATGTGGAATGCGGGGGAAGTTCTCGTTACGCTATGCCCATGCTGACAGCCTATTCCTTCCCCAGGTGCCAACACCCATCACTGAAATGGAGATCTCTGTCAAAAGGGTAAGGGCAGCTGCCTGACTCCTCATGTGTTCCCTGTCCCCTGCCCTGGCTGCAGCCTCCTTGAGAACTACCCTAGTCTGCTGGAGAATGGTGCCAGGCAAGCCTGATTAGGCTCTGCAACAAGGGCTGTGTCCAGTTGGGTGCTGGGTTTCACATGCATGAAGCTGTGGACAATGACAGGTGCCAAGGTCATGTTCAGATAGGGAGAGATCTACAAAGGCCAGTTCTTAAGGGAGTTGATACTTGCTCGGAAACAAAATCTGGAATTTTTTTTTCTTTTTGGTAGTGGGGGTTGAACACTTTACCACTGAGCTATACCCTATCCTTATTTATTTATTTATTTATTTATTTTTAAAGTGTGGGTGGGGCTAATGACCATTTTATTTATTTATATTTATTTATTGCAATCTGGGGATTGAACCCAGGGCCCTGCACACACTTAGGAAAGTTCTTTAACCACTGAGCTACACCCTCACCCTACCCCCTTTTTATTTTTTACATTATTATTATTATTATTAGGTACTGGGGATTGAATCCAGGGGTACTTTACCACTGACTAAATCCCCAGCCCTTTTTATTATTTTTTTAAAAATTTTGAGATAGGGTCTCACTAAGCTGCTTAGGGTCTTGCTAAATTGTTGAGATTGGCCTCAAACTTGTGATCCTTTTGCCTCAGCCTCCAGAGTCACTGAAATTACAGGTGTTTACCACCATGTCTGGCCTGTTTTCATTTTTAAAATTTTTTAGTTTTTTGGTACTGGAGATTAAACCCAGAGGCATTCAACCACGGAGCCCTACCCTCAGCCCTTTTTATTTTTTTGAGACAGAGTCTCGCTAAATTGCTTAAGACCTAAGTTGCTGAGGTTGTCTTTGGACTTGTGATACTCCTGCCTTAGCCTTCCAATCGCTGGGATTACAGGCATGTGCCATTGTGCTTGGCCCCTTTTTAAAAATTTTATTTTGAGATAAGGTCTTGCTAAATTGCCCAGGCTGGCCTCAGCCACCCGACTTGCTGGGATTACAGGCATACACCACCACACCTGGCAAGGGAACCATATTTTAGAGGCCTGATATATGTCCTTTTGCAAGTGGCAAATACCATGTATGCCCCAGTTTACCTCTTGGTGAATCCCAACTGTCTTTTGTGTGTGTGGTACTGGGGATTGTACCCAGGGCCTTGTGCATGCTCTACCACTGAGCCTTAAATCCCAACTTTTATACTGGGATTGCTTACAGCAAGGTGCACCTCTGAAATCAGAGGTCAGTAAGAAAAGGCCAGTGGGGTACAGGATAAAGGTCAGTAGCAGGGATGGCCTGGAGAAGTCCCTTAGAGAAAAGACCCCAGACCTGCCCCATCCACTCTATATAGAGCAGGTAGATGACAAACATCTTTATTTCTGTGAATAAATCCAAGAGGTTCTGGAAGACTTCCTGAAAATGGTAGGGGTCTCAGGAAACCCAAGGGAAATGAGAGTCTGGATGCTCCTTAGTTAAGCCCAGGCTCACCATGGGCTCTGCCTGTGTCTCTCCCCAGCAAATGCTGTATGTGGGCTCTCAGCTGGGCGTGGCTCAGCTGCGACTGCACCAGTGTGAGACCTATGGAAGTGCTTGTGCTGAGTGCTGCCTGGCCCGAGACCCATACTGTGCCTGGGATGGTACCTCCTGTACCCGCTACCGCCCCAGCCCTGGCAAGCGTCGGTTCCGCCGACAGGACATCCGGCACGGGAACCCTGCCCTACAATGCTTGGGTCACGGCCAGAATGGTGAGCGGCAGTGGGTATGGGCGCCCTAACAGGGCTCCTACCCATCCTGTGGTCTGGGCTCTATTCCTGTGAAGTGTGACCTCAGACTGGTCCTGTTGTGACAGTCCTCAGTTTCCTATTTATGCAGCTCTAGTCAGCTCATGGGTGCGGGGTACAGTGACTGGCTTGGGGTTCAATGGATGCCTAGGTCTTTATCATACTGGTGGGATGCAGGAATCAGTTGGTGGCCCTGGGGGCCTGGGTTCCATAGTTCCCATGTTAAGCCAGCTTGGTCCTCCATGCAGAGGAAGCTTCAGGACTGGTGACCACCAGGGTCTATGGCACAGAGCACAATAGCACCTTCCTGGAGTGCCTGCCCAAGTCTCCCCAGGCTGCTGTGCGCTGGTTCTTGCAGAGGCCAGAGGATGAGGGACCTGACCAGGTGAGTGAAGACCCTGCCTCCAAACCCTACCTCCCTACCTGAATCCCAAGCCCTGAGCCCTAGGAAGGGTTTTTGGTGGTAATCTGCTAAGATCAACTAAGAAAAGTTTGTTAGGCCCCTACAGTACCTAGGAGGAAGTACCCCTATTTCTGTCTCTGGGAATCTAGGACATATATAGCTGGAACTCCCCCAGTCTAAGAGGTGGGTAGCAGAGAGGGAAGAGGGGTCTGGTGTGGTCTGGAAGTCCCCTGTGTTTGCACATATGGCTCAGCTTTGAAGAAATCTCTTCCCCAGGGGTTCTCAGTCCTCCTTTGCCTTAGGCTTGGGTACCTCCCTGACTACTGGACCTTGCCACCTCCCTCCATTTCTGGTCCTACACTTCCTCCTGGGAGACCAGCTATATGGCCAGGCCCTTTCCTCCCCCATGGGAAAGGTCTCTGTCAACTCCTGGAGATGGCTTCAGTCTGGGGCCTAAGGCTGAGTGGGGTGGGCAGGGTGAGGAACCAACCATTCTCCCACAGGAAAGAGGAGGGGAGAGGGGGTTGGTTATAGGAGGGACTGTCCCTCCAGCTTGGGAACTGGGGGAGGCCAGCCTTGGGCCAGCTGTTGGGTTGGGCACTGAGGAGACTCCCTGGGGTTGGGGGCGGGTCAACAAGATGAAGTTACACAACACTAACCACCCAGGCAGTGCATCCTCAGCCCAGATGTACAGACTAAAGCCCGAACAGGATTCAGAGAGATGGTTTGGGACCGGAGCTGCATTCCCACCTCTTACACTGAAGTGGGCACCCCAGGCTGGGGCTGTCAGCTTAGTGCTGTGGCAGGAGAAAACAGGAAAAATTAAGACAGGGAAGGCCCAGTGTGCTCTGTGTGTGTGTGTGTGTGTGTGTGTGTGTATGTACATGTGGAGAGGAAGAAGTTTTCCTTGCCCCAGAGTAAAAGCTCAGAAGTACGCTTGTAAGCTGGCACAGTGGCCATGCCTATAATCCCAGCAGCTCAGGAGGCTGAGGCAGGAGGATTGTGTGTTCAAAGCCAGCCTCAGCAACTTAGTAAAGTCCTAAGCAACTCCGTAAGACCCTGTCTCTAAATAAAATACAAAAAAGGGCTGGGGATGTGGCTTAGTTGTTAAGTGCACCTGGGTTCAATTCCCGGTACCAAAATAAATAAATAAATAAATAAATAAATTTTTTTTAAAAGAAAAATATCTCTCTAGCCTGTCTGCTTCCTGTGTATGTGTGCAAGGGCTCTTCAAGGCCAAGTTTGATACCTGGGTCTCTGATTTGGGGAGACACCAGCCATTCATATTATTGAAACAAACAAACAAAACCCTTTGCAGGCTCTTTCCTGGACCATAGGAAGGTAAGGCCCTGCCCTCAATTAACTTGTAGTCTAGAGGCCAACCTGCCAACCTGCCGGTCCCCTTCTGGACAGGGAAGATAATGGGCAAGGGGAAGGACATACACACTGGGCCCTCAAGATGGAGAAGTAGGGGGCGAAGAAGCTGACAGTACCCATCCTGCCCCACACTGTGCTCATGTCCCCTGTGCCTTCCCACTTGCCTGGCAGGTAAAGACAGATGAGCGGGTCCTGCAAATGGAGCAGGGGCTGCTGTTCCGCAGGCTCAGTCGCCTCGATGCCGGTACCTACACCTGCACAACGCTAGAGCATGGCTTCTCCCAGACTGTGGTCCGTCTGACTCTGGAGGTGATTGCCGCTACTCAGCTGGACAGTCTGTTCCCTCGGAAGCCAACACTGGAGGAGCCCCCTGCCAGGGGAGGCCTGGCCTCTACCCTACCCAAGGCTTGGTATAAGGACATTCTGCAGCTCACTGGCTTTGCTAACCTGCCCCGGGTGGATGAGTACTGTGAGCGTGTGTGGTGTCCAGGCACTGGGGAGCGCTCAGGCTCCTTCCGGAGCCGGGGGAAGCAGGCCAAAGGCAAGAGCTGGGCAGGTCTGGAGTTGGGCAAGAAAGTGAAGAGCCGGATGCAGGTTGAGCGCAACCGAACGCCACGGGAGGTGGAAGCCACGTAGACATGGAAGGGGTGGTCAGGTTAGGCCAGGGAACCCAGCAGCAACCCCCAGAATCTCCTACCTACCCAGCTAGGGCAAGGGGCGCCAGGATGCCTGACTGCCTCTTAGAGATGAGAATCTCTGCTACCCATAGGAAGGACTGGGGGCCTGAGGGAGGGGCCCCGTGCCTGAGGCCTGTTCCCTGCCCTTCTTTATGCGCTCATTCTCAGGCTGGAGCTGGCACCCTTTGGCCCCTGGCAGCCCCAAGGGGCCTGCCATTTGTTCTCAGAGATGGCCTGGCTTCCGGAATACATTTCCGGGTATGCCCAGAGGCAAGAGGGTTGGGTGGTTCTTTCCCAGCCTTCAGAACAATGGCTATTCTGAGTGACCCTCAAAGTGGGTGGCTCTAGGAGATATCTGGGCAGAGGCCCTCAGGCATCTAGAAGAGAATAGAAGTGGCCTCTTCTTTGCTTGACCTAGCATCTGTTAGGAAGAGCCTACCCTGACCAGGTTGGGGAGGGCAAGTGGAGGTGTTGAGGAGTTGGAGCAGCAGTACCTTACCCTCTTCATGCCCTGATGTCTTGGTATTTCCCTGCCACTGCCCACGACCTCTCCTGTATCTCAGAATTATAGAGGTGTGGATTTCTGAGACCTAGGGGTGGTCAAGGTCTTAGGCCTCACTTTATAAATTGGGGAGAGGGTTCTCACAGCATGACCTTCTTTCTTCAGGCCCGGAAGTGTTATGCCAGGTTTCTGGCTGGAATGGCCACATCTCCTGATGGGATTCCCCTTCCTCGCCATCAGGGTCCCATGATGAGGATCAGGGAGAAGGAAATGTTAGTCCTCATCTCTGGATTAGAGATGAGAAAGAGGAGTTGGGGATGGGAGGAGTGGGCTGTCTTTCCCAGGGCAATACAGAAGGGTAGGAATGTAGAGTCTTTGCAAGCTACAGCCTGAAGTCAGGATTGGGGTCAGGGCTTTGGCCAGAGCCACAGAAAATTGACAGGTTATCAAGATGGAGAGAGAAAGACCATAGGATGGGCTATGGACCCAGGCCCAGGTGTCCTCAAGGACTCAAGATGGCATCAATTAATTCAGGAGCCATATTGGGAAGGTCAGATGTTCCCTAAAAATCTCTATTTTCTGCTAAGTAAGGGTTATTTTACAAGTCTTTTTTAAAATTATTTTTGGTGCTAGGGATGAACACAGGGCTTTGTGAGTGAGCTAGGCAAGTGCTCTACCACTGAGCTACATCCCCAGCCCTCTTTTTTTTCCTTTAAGAAGAGAGAATAGCTGCTAAGAACTGTACGTCCTGCTGGTTCTTGGGGATGAGGCTCAGATGGCAAGGTTACATTTTGCTTGGGCATGTAGGGGAGTTGTTTTTGCCATCAGCAGTTTCTTAGTCTGGGGAGCACAAAGGAGGAGGAGGAGGATAACTAAATGAAAAGTTGTTCCCAGCCTGCACATGAACAAGTTAGTGACGCACAAAACTAACAAGAGACAAGGGCATCAACTCTGAGATTCCTTCCTTCCAAAAACCAAGATGAAGAAACAAAGGAGGAAAAAGAAACAGCAAATTAGGCTTCCTGCCCCACTGCAACTCAATCCTGAAGGGCATTGGGTTTTCTCTCCCTCACCCTCACACCACCAGAGTATGGGAATCTGAAACAGCCCCCACCCCTTCCCTTTGATTATATGGCAAGTGTACTAGAAGCACTGAGGTTAATCTAACAACACCTTGAGAATCCTTTCTGCCTGGGGTGCTGTCTTGCTATATGAGCAGGTAAAAACAGAGGAGGGGATGGTGGAAGAAAGAAGGAAGAGGAGACAGAGATGAAAGAGGTGGAGGAGAGAGTGCAGATCTCGGGGAGGTGGGGGGAGGGGGGTCAGAGCTGCAGCCGGCTCTGCCCTCTATCCCTGGGAAGCCAGAAAGAGACAAACAGGCTCTCAGTGGCTGGGCTTAGGCTTGGTAAGCTCCAAGCCAGGTCCTCTGGGGAAGTGACTCTGGAAAACGGAGGGAGCATTGTATATCTGTATTTGGGAAAATATGGACAGCTTCTACCAATTGCCCCCCTTCCATGGTACTGTGTTGTTAATACCTGGAAATGCCCTCTATGTATGAAATCTATTTTTGTGTTCCTATGTTGAGATGGGCCTTGTGGTTTCTCTGTCTTTGGAGCATACTTCTTGTATTGTTATTTTTATTGTTGTGGCAGCCCTGAGTTCTAGTGAGGAAAGCAAGAGCCTCCCAGGAAAGGGATGAAGTTAATATTTATATCACATAATTATATTGTTATTATATCTGTATATTTCTGTACTAAATTGATTGATGCATCTGCCACTCTACCTCTTCCTCTAGGGAAAAGGTCCCCATAACCTTGGGTGGTATTTTCTGGCAGAGAGGGAGATGGGTAGTAGGGGAAGGAAGGAGCCAGAGGACTTTGTCTATAAAGCTGGGATTGCTCATTAAATTAGGAAAAGTCCTGACCTGAGGTCTTGTAAAATTTGACCTTCTTGGAACTTCAGGAGGATCTTGGGGGGGGAGAGGGGGGAGAAAGGCTGGCAAAGGTCAGCCAGGCACGTAGGCAGTTCTGCTACTTTTTCACAACACTTGACATTTGTAATAGCTATACTTGGCCTGGTGCCGCCTTCATCCCAAGTCACATACCAATGTATATTAAGGCCACCAAATTCATGCCTGGGCTGGGCTGGGCTGGGCTGTGGGGGCCATAGCTCCTGGGGAGGAGGAGAGGCCCTAAGAGTCTGACCTATTGGGCACACTGCAGAAGACTCTCTGACCATGGTCCCTGTTCCCCCAGTGACATTATGCCCCTTATCCGACTCCACTAGTGCTGGGAATAGGTGAAAAACCACGGAAGCACTTCAAAGATAAGAGAGATATCACCCTATCTTGCTAGGGAGATGGCCCTGGGCCCCTCTATTTTTGCTATAGTCTAGGAGGCTCAACAGAAGACTCAGTCATGGGTCCCAACTTGCAGTTGGGCCCTGGAGCCTGGCCTCCTATCCCTCCAAAATACTGAGGCCTGACAGGACCTGAAGTCTTGTTTCCCCTCCTGAGCTATCGCCCACACACTGAGAGGCATCATCAGAGTACCCACTTGGTGCTGGCCTGGAAGGATGTGCAAACGAGACCCCCACTGCCCCATCTCTCATCAAGCGCTGCTCTTCCTGGGGCAGCCGAGTACCTCTCCTCCCAGGCATCATTACCACCTATTCTCTGAAGACCCCTCGGCCCAGACTTCTCCCTGGTTCTCAGTCCCCCTTCTGCCTCTGTCTTGACTCTTATTTCCTGCTTCAGCAATTTTACCCTCTCTCTATCTTCCTCTTGCACATTTTTCCTCTAAGTCTGGTACTTCCCCTGGTTGGTGGGCCTCTGTTTCATGATTTCCCAAACAGGTTTAGAGCTGGGAAGAGACTTAGACAAAAAGACTAGTTAAACATTTCCCAAATGGTGTCCTATGAAAGGGTAACCCCAGGAGATTCTCTATGATCTCATGGTCTTCAAGGTCAAATTAGGGAATTCTGCCTCCTTGGCCTCCACAAAGCTGTATACTGCCTGCCTCATGAAAGCACCGAGAAATCCTGTGCCGGTCTGCAATTATTGTGTACCTACTATATGTTCTATGATTCTCCAAAACTTGATTCTTTCTTTCTTTCTTTCTTTCTTTCTTTCTTTCGCAGCTAACATCTCATACTTCTAATGTTCTGAAGAGCATACTTTGGAAAAGTGCTGATTAGTTAATTCCTTCCCTTTACATGTGAGATTAATTTGTTAATCTCTGCCCCCCAAGCCTGTAAACTCTAGAGGCGCAGACCTCCCAGATTTCAATCATGTTTTTGTTTCCTATGGTTTTCATCAGAGTAGAACCTGCCACCTCAGGGACAGTGCTGCCAAGCTACCAGTCTGCCAACACTTATAATTGATTCTGTCTCCTACACCCATCCTCCCACACCCAGCCTGCATTCCCAACCTAACTTCCAGCCCCTCCTGTGTTTGGCATGGTCCTTTGAGGGCATGGCCAAGATTCATCCCAAGCCTGTGGTTGTCCTGCAATTCAACAGAGAAATTTCTCAGGAAAGTTGGGGGAAGGGAAGGGTCAGAATAAGGGAGAAAAACATCCTTTTTGTTTTCTCAAATGGTGTCTTGCTTCCCTTTCATTTAGCTAAGCTTGAGGTCAAGTCTTAGATACTCCTAAAATTGGAAAGGGGGGCACATAGAGGCCACTAGGATCCTGAATTGTCTCTCACCAGGCTGCCCTCTAGGCCTGGAGGGGCTCATATACCTCTCCCAGTCAGCAAACTGAGGCTTCTCTGGCCAGCCACATCATATTCTCAGTGCTAGGAGAAAATTGCCCAGAAATAGTCCACTTTCCATCTGGATTAAGGGCCCACCCCAGCCTCACCCAGGTCCCGGGCTGCAGAGGATTCCATGAGGAGAAAGTTTAACACACACCGAGAACAAATCCCCAGGGTTTTCCAAGACTACAAACTTGGAGAGAAAGGACTGGGCAGGGCTGGATTTGAACACAATATCTGATAAGGAACTTGGGGATTGTTGGGACCCCACCCTGGCTCCTCTTCCGGACTTACCCACCCCTCTGGTATATGGGGTGGGGTGAGGCAAGGCAGCTCTGGTCCTGTGCCCACTTCTCACTGCTCAGCCCCCACCTACATTTGTTATGCTGGGTCCCTCTCCCTTAGGGGTGGTATTCTAATGAAGCCTTTCACTTTCCCTGCTGGAGTTTCATTAAGGAAATTTCAGTTCCTCAATGCAGTTAAAAAATTTTTTTTTTGTTCTCCACTTGGGATAGGAACTGTTGTAGTCTCCAGGGGAAACTTGTAAGGGATGTGGAGCTCTCCTCTCCTCTGACCAGGCCTCCAGATAATAGTATGCTGATGTGGAGATTCAAGTGACCAATATTGAACTTTATCCCATGGAGGAAGATGCCCAGAGTGTATCCTTCTTTTTTGGTTTCAACGATTGAATCCAGGGGCACTTAACCACTGAACCACATCCCCAGCCCTTTTTATGTTTTATTTTGAGACGGGGTCTCACTAAGTTGCTGAGGCTGGCTTTGAACTCATGATCCTCCTGTCTCAGCCTCCATTCCACCGGGATTACAGGTGTGTGCCCTGCAAAGTGCATCCTAATACAACCAATGGTGCTTATTTCACTGCCATGAATATTTCACTTCCACTAGGCAAAGAGGGACAATCAGGGCAGGCAGATTGCTGAGGGCTTATTGATAGGACACCAAAGTGAATGGACAGGGGGCTAGAGCAGACTCTGTCTGACATCAAATGGAGGGACACTTGAAGCCCAGAATGGCCTGTTGGGAGGGCAAGGCAGGCTCTGCTCTCACAGATAAAGGTATAGAAGAATGACGTGTCAAACCAGCAGCTTGCTTTATGGACATGATCTCACCCACCAGCCCCAGCTGATAAAAATCTGGAGCTGTTTCCTGTAGTCCAAGGGTCTCAGACAATGGTGTGAACGGCTAGACCTACTGGAAAGCACATTGTTCAGGGAAGAAAAAACAACACCCCAGCACAAAGCCAGGGCAGGATCTGTCTAAATGTAAGGGCCTGTTTACAAATCCATGATTTTCAAGGGTTGGAACACAATGGGGAATTGTTGTGGAGAGGTTGGTGTCCCCTTCAGTATGCTCCTGTCTGGCTTTGATGGCTCAGACAGGTCTCAGATGCTCTGAGAGGGATGGACACTGATGGCTGCAGATGCCTTCCTGTTTATCATGAGCATGCAGAGCAGGGTCAAGGAGCCAGTTACACCAAAGACAAGTGCGGCGCTCCTGGGCCTCACCCCTTCTATCCGGGCCTCATGCTGGCTCACTGCTCAGGGCCCCAGAATTAGAGGGGGTTTGCTAGGAAGATTAAAGGGCAAGGGTATTAGGACTGGGGACGTGGCTCAGCAGTAGTGGGTAATGCACTTGCTTATCAAGGGTTCGATTCCCAGCAATAACAACAAACAAAAGGGCAAGTTTTTTTTTTTGTGTGTGTGTGTGTGTGATGAGTATGATATTTGTGTGTATGTGTGTGTTTGTAAACATCAACTCTTTATTTTATGGCCTCCAATTGCATGTTGATTTTTTAAAAACATGTACAAAGCTTGAAACCTTTGAAAAATAGTTAGATCCTTTGGAATGGGGCTCACTTGCTTGGTCACAAGGCAGCCTTCTCACATCTGGGGCCCCATGATGCTGTGATTCACTTCCAGCCTGCCTGGGAGCATACAGGGAACTGACGTGCCCCTGGGGTCAGGGCCAGTGGAGGCACTCTTTTTCATAGCAACCTGTTGCTCTGCCCACGTGGATTGGGCTTTTGAACCCCTACCCAGATGTCCTGATGTGAGTGAGCATGTGTTTCTGTGTGCATGTGCTTTTGTGTATGTGTGTGTGACTGTGGTAAGAGGGTAGGGCAGAAGAGGAATAGAAACATAGAAACATATTTCCCTTGAGACTAGCAGTCACCATTTTTAGTGTGGGAGGGCTCCTGGGGTTAGGAAGTCTACTTTGGGTCTGGAGAAACAATAAGGGCAGTCTTTTTTTTTTTTTTTAAATATTTTTTAGTTGTTGGACCTTTATTTTATTTATTTATATGTGGTGCTGAGAATCAAACCCAGTGCCTCACCCTTAGGAGGCAAGCACTCTTTCACTGAGCCACAACTCCAGCCCCATGGGCAGTCTTATTTGAGGATTTGACCTGTGGTGGAAGTATCATTAGTAGCCTTTTTTTTTTTCTTTTCCCTGCTACTGAAGATTGAACTCAGAGGCACTTTACTACTGAGCTACATCCTCATCCTCCCCACTTTTTTTGTTGACAGATCTCTATTTTTTATTTGTATGCGGTATTGAGAATTGAACCCAATGCCTCACATATTTGAGGCAAGCGCTTTACCACTGAGTCACAACCCCAGCCCACTCATCCCTTTTTATTTTTTACTTTATAACAGGGTCTCACTAAGTTGCTGAGGCTGTGATCCTTTTGCCTTATCAGTAGTACATTTATACTAATATCTAAACCCAACAGAAGTATAGTTTACAAAAAAACTAAAAAAAAAAAATGAGGAGCAATAAGTGCCATGCAATTCCAAAAACAGAAGCAAACTTTTCATAAGGCTTTTATCTTTTCAGGTCTAAAGGGTTAGAATCTTCTTGGTCAACATGTTAACAGTGCCCTCTGGTGTTTGGCAGCAGAACAACAGGCATATTAGTACAGGGTATGAGTACTTCCATTAGATTAGCAGTCTTGAAACTGCCTCTGAATGTAAGATTCTGGGCCTGGCACCACTAGGGGAAGAAAGGCTAATAAGACAGATAGGTCTCTGCCTGTAAGAGGCTTCCCATCTAACAGGACAGACAGATCCACAACTGTAGGGCTATACAGGGGTTTAAGTAGAGGCCAGAGAGCATGCAGGGTTGAAGATGTGGCCCTATGCTGCCTTCAACAGGCT